TTACTATACTTACTTTTATTATTTATATTTATTCTCATTATAAATATACTATTATTTACTATTATTACTATTATTACTATTATTACTATTATTACTATTATTACTATTATTATTATTATTTTACTATTATTGTTAGTCTTACAGTTGTTCCTATGATGATTATTGTACCATTATTATTATTATTATTGTTGTATAATTTGCACGTTAGATATATTATCATATTTACGTAATTAGCTGCCACCGGGTTATACCCAATCGCAGTTTGAATAAACTTATCTTTATCTTTACGTCGGTTTGCTCAAGATTTTCACCTTCTGGTATCTCCACACAACGGGGCACCGCCCCAACCGAAAAATCCTCTAAGCCTCGCCATAGTGATAATGAAATGCATGAGAGTATGTAAAAGGAGATGATGGAACAAGAAAGAGCGAGAAAAGATTCCGGGAGGTCCGTGGCCCGTTTCTTAGGATACTTTATGGCATTCACGTAGAGTTAATTGAAGAAACTACGGTTAATTACCGATTAGTGCAGCCAGCAGCAAGATTTCTCCTCCAGATAGCAGCTGAATTCGACCTAGCTATTGAGCTAATGTGAAAAATTGCCACACCAAGGATCTTCCAGTCAGAGCCACTCCTGTAAGCGGCAAAGCTGGATCAGAGTTAAACTTGTCTTATCTTTCAAAACATTATACTTAGAACACTTTCCTGCAGAATAGAAAATACGTTTGAGAAAGCGATCTTCTTCTTGCTGAGCACCTTCTTTTTATAGTTGGCCACACAATGCCAACTGCCAACTAATTTCCAACAGTGTAGGAGGACGGAGAGCCTTAAGTGCCGCCGATGAGGGGGGGGTACTTGGCAGAAGGAAACCATGTATAAAGTAACAATGCCGATATGGAATCGAATTACAATTACTTCCTCTCTTCTTGAAAACACTGTATGAGGCACGCCAGGGATTTATATAATATTTAGTCGCCCTTGATTTAAATGTGGGATTGTAGCACTGTGAAACACTATGAAGTGTTTCAAGAATGCCCTTAAACCACCCGAGGAAGCAGAGAGAATGTCAGTATCAAGCCTTCGAGTAAATGATTTCGCAGCCAGGCCCGCTACCTCATTACCTGTCATTTCAGCATGACCCAGGACCCAACGAAGTATTAGGTAATATGCCTAGACCATGAATCAGGTGTTGCAATGGCTTGACCGAGGGAGAAAGGAATAAGAGTGAAGAGCTCTAGGGGAATCATTGCAACTACTCTTCGTGATGAATCTGATTTGGCGTATTTCGGAGGCTGGAGTTCGGCAAACTTTCGGCAGAGCATACGCTACAGAATGGTTCAGCGAATACAAAATGAACGAGTAGCTGTTCTAAAAATGAACACAGCCACTGAATCATTGATGACAGAGCCATGCGTATCTCGGAAAGTAGGAACAGGCGAAGCTGTTGTCATCTCATGGGCATCAGTCAGATATACTAAGAGAGGAGGAGTAGTGCGTTTAGGGAGGAAGGTTATTATACAAGTAGAAACATAGTATTTTTACTTTCTCGCTACCGCTACCGTGATAGAAAGTTATGTAATGCTTCTCGAAAAAACGGCAGAAAATTCTTATTACAAGGCTCTGGAAACGAAAAAGTGGAAACATTCAGTTGCTAAATTTAGAAAAAAATTCCTCTAACACGTGGTGAATCCTACAAGTCTATCATAAGTGTGTACGATTTATGTAATTTTGAAGTGTTACATGCAATGTTATAATGAACCAACGAATCACTTGTGAATAACCATTCAAAAATAATATACACTATTATGTATTCGTAAAAATAAAACACACAATTCCTTTTTAATCCGAGTCTCGCGGAGTCATTTCGAGTTCAAATAAACGCCCCAGGTTCTAAGAAATCTGCGCGGGGCCAGTTCCCTCACGTGTGACGCCCGTGCTGACGCGCGCAGCCGTCGACCGACGGCCCTCAAGAAGAGTCATCTCACGCGAGGAGCAAATGGACTCCGAGCGTCGAATACAGCGGCCTTGCGCGAAGCAGCGCATTTGCGCGCTCGTTCGCGGAGGCGATGACCGGCAGGTTCATTGGAGGAACCCCCACCTCGGCACGGGAGTTAAAAGGGACACATTTCGTTCGCTCCTCCAGTTTCCGTCCGGGAGATCTGCACTTCTGGTGGAAGGTACGTGCCACTTGCATGCTTACGCGAGACGTGTTTCATAGCTATTTTGTGCAATGAATTAAATCTATAACATAATTCCCTGCATCCCCGCGATTGTTTCGTAAAATTTGAGCAACTCAGCAATATAGAAACCCGGGAAAATTTCTAATTATTACCTATGGTTTAGGGATATGCCACAAAAAACAAAGGTTTTGGATCGAACGCTTCAACGAACAACAAAAAAATAAAAACTGACCAATCCGCTTAAAAAATATGGTGTCAGTGGAATATTTGGCGGTGCAATGCGGTAGTTTTCACAGCGTGCAATTTCATTTCGTAATTTTAGTGAGTTGGGTTCAGAGAGTCATGGAAATTGAGTTTCTAAAATACAGCTACACTAAGTATTCTTTCCTTAGTCCATTTTCCTTCGTAGTTATTGATTTTTCGAGGAGTTTCGAAAAACCTCAACTACAACAATGTTACCTAATTCGCGCATGGGTGGTGTCTTTCAATTTCTTAGACTGCACTGCGACCCTTTGATATGAACTATGGCGCCCCAGGGAAGTACTTCCACAATGGCAGCTTGCTGGAGAGAGGGCTAGCAACAGAAATTATGTTTATAGCATGAGTTGCAGCTTGTTAAAAAGAAAACGTAAATTGTGCACTAATTACAATCGTAATTCATGTCGGAAATATCCCTTTCACTTGTTTCCCAATTATCTGGTTGCTACCAAGTTGAATGGAATTTTTAACAGGAGGCCCTGATTCGGTTCGGTGAAAGACTTTCCAGGCGCACTATACAATTAGCATTTATACTACTTTTAGAAAAATCATTTTGACAAATAATTGACATGTGAGTTATAGGCATAAAAACAATGATACAGATATACTAAGTAAAGATATATGAAGCGTTGAAATAAATGAAGTGCCTAGCCCTCCAGAACAGATGAAACTAGTTTGTGTTTGAGAAATGTTCTATTTGCTAAACCTAATGCACGGAAGAACGGGCCACGAGGTACAGCATTTGGAAATTATTTAAAATCTCTCCTAAAATAGAACTACCTCACAGTGCTGTTTTAAACAACTCCACGACGATAGCTTGATACGTTTACTTTAAGGCACAGTTTACTCGCGTAACAAACGGAATAAATTCTTAACTCTTCACAAAATACTAAGACGTGTGAAAGCACAGTCCTCGATGTACCACCCACTTAGATTCCAAGAACGCAGTGTGCCAAAACAACTATGACAAATAACAGAGGAACTAAATCAGATACCTTATTGGAAAATAGTCGAAACTTTCACCCTTTCAGGGACTCCCTAATGAAGCTTCGCTGAGTCCTAGAAGATCGTGGTTTGGGAAACTATGTCTGATAATAAAATAAATTTTGAAAGGAAAACAAACAATTTTAAAACAATTAAATTGTGTTCCAATGATTACAATGAATTATTAATAAGAGAGATTGACTTCGTCCTGTCAATTTTAACTGGCTACTTCTAGTATTTCAATACATCATGCTCCAGATCTGGATAAAAAGATCTTCAAAGTACGGTACAAAAATACAAAGAACAAAATTTTTTGTCGTTCTATGTTACATCGAAAGAAATGATGTTTCAAAAAGCATATCAATTTAAAAAGTAAAAAACATTTTAAAGCCCATGCTCACATCCAAATACTAGTTATCCAGTGCTACTGTGAACCTTTCTTTCACTAAATTATAAAAAAAAAAGTTCCATTAATACACTAGAGCGGGGTATTTTATTCAAATATCGTTATAAAAATAGGCTTCATTTTATGCCACATTAAACTTCAAAAAACTTTCTAAATAAAATACGTAATATATACGTAATATGACAGAATACTATGCATCCTTCATAGAGCAAACCATGTGAGAGGTGTCTAAAGACACCCAGCAACTCGAGAAAAATCCAAAATGAAGTATCATTCTCACTGCGTTACTGCTTGCAAGGTAGCTGACGTCATACGACAACAAGGCTTCAAGGAAGATGTCTCCCGCGTTTGCTCTTCACGTGTTTGCTATTTAGATGTTAAGTAATTGAACAGCAAAATTGCTATTCACTAAATTTCAATTGCAATTCAATCGTTCTTCGTAAAGAACAGTCGATCTGTATCTGAACAGTAGAGGTTCTGGAATCCAAGAAGTGCTTCTTTCCAATATGTACCTGTACTTTCCCCCCTTTCGACACATGAAGCTATTAACATTCTTTACGTCAATATATAAACAATATAAATGTCAGATAAATTATTTTCCGTTGCGTAGTTTTTATGCAATTAAAGTCTATAGTGTATATCTAAAACCAAATCAAAACTTATCTTGTAGTAATACTAACGCATTCGTTGATTTTTCAATTGTTTAAATGTAAGACTGAATAGGTTCTTAGGGACTATTGTAATTAAGTTCTGTATCAATGCCTTTCATTTGAAAGGACTTTTCATTCAACTCCCCTTGAGCTATTCAGAGAATACTTAAACGGTTCCATTCTTTGCTTCCGAACAATTAATGGATCGTTTGTCAAATACAACGCAAAGTTTTTATTGATTTTAGAAACAAATAAATAAAAATTCTGATCATTAATGAACGCTCGTGCTTCCCGTTTTTAAAATGTTTTGAGGGAGGTAAATTCATCTTCAAATAGGCATTGATATATTCAATTCAATATCAAATATTCCATTTTATACGTTGGTGAAAATGTATTATCGAAATCATTGTAAGGAACAAATATTCCGAATACTTATATTGATCTGATTCCCGAAGTAAAGAGAATCAATAATGTTAAATGTAACATATTTTATACAGCTTGTAAGGATACCACTGAAGACCTGCCGATAAGTACACACCAACATGACGGTTCTCATTTGGCGAGCAGTGTATCCCACTGCGCTGGCAATGGCGCTAGGAATTCGTCTGGTGCTAACGAGTCCCCTGATTCAGGTAAAGTAAAAGTTGTGAGCTTTTCCTTTTTTGTGGAATGCACAAGTTTTATATTAGCGATCTATTTTTATCACACTGTTTTTTTTTATTTTGGGTGATTTATCATCAAGGGTTTCTAAATCATTTTGATCAAATAGCCATGTAAAAATAATAATTATTACATGGACATTTTTATTGATTCATTTAAATGCGTGTTGCATCAATTAATACAACTACATTCTTCCTAATGGTGTCATTTGGGAAACTTAGCGTATCACATTTGTGGCTGAAATTTGACATGGGTGGGATTGAAAATAGTTTAAGACAAATAAATAATGCAAATATAGTATCATTAAATAAAAACAAAACAAAAACTGGCTGTCACCCACACATTCAGCTTGGGTAAACAAGGTTTTTTCATAGTGCGATGGTAGAAGAAATGAAACTTTTTCACTATTTACCATCTCCTTTATGTATTTTAGCTGTTGTTCCAAAATAAAAATAAAAAACCTAAATGACGTTCAGGGTCTGTATCTCGAGTCGAATAATTGAATTATGTTGTACTTACAACTTTAAGTACCTCAGTCCTGATACCACCTGAAACTGCCAGGTACTCATAACTGATTTTATTTAACATTCAGCTAGTTCAAAACATTGTTTGTTGTTAATGTACAATCATAGGTTTGGAAAATTCTTACAATTTTACTAAATTCTTAAAGTATGTATCTTCCCTTTTATCGTGTACAACCCAGTTAAGACTACCTGACAAGACCTACGTTGCTCGTTGCTCCTCAGCATGGCCAGAGAGATGATAAACTTCAAAACATGTGCCTTCTAAAAAATCGAAATCCGTGAAAATACCGTCTTTCTGTGAGAAAATGTTACATTAGCTGTCTGTTATGCACCTACTTTTACGAATGGAAATCCTAGTGCTTGGGGACCAGCACGGAGTACAAAATTGATTTATAGAATCTACATTCTTATTAATTGAAAATACTGAAAACTAATGAATCGATTTCAAGAAACTGATCAATAAAATACGATATACGAAATTAGGCAAAATGGCAATAGAAATTTCTTTCATTGGGCATGTTGGTTTAAATAGTAGAGTTTTAGTATAATCTGCAGACTGATTGTACAAAAAATGAAGATCAATTGTAATTATTAAAATTGTTTTTAATGATACTCTGTTTTAAGAATTTCATATTTTTTAAAGAATAAAAAACCTAAAAACCTACTTTTTTCTTATTTTTTAACACAATATAAAATATTATATTAGGAGCCCCTATCAAGGATGAGCTTACTTTGCTTGTACTTTTTTATCGACAAATCAGTTGATATTCTGTTTTCTACAAAGCAGTCGTCGTCCTGTTATTGCGAGAGAAAAGCAACTGTTTTGTCACGCGTAAGTTACCAGAAGTGACCACGCCTGGAGTCGCTAACGTGATACAAGAAGGGCGTGAGGGAGGGAGAAATGTTCTTAGGATAAACAGGGGGAACAAGGGATTTCTGAAAATAAACCAGTTTTTTCAATCGACCTTTATGACAGGATCGAACACACATTTAGGTGAAGATTAACGAAAGTAGAGTGAGCATTCATAAAAAGAAGTATTTCCTAAACGTTTTGACAATTTCACACTTAATACTTTCTCGCCCCTCATAAAAAAGTACGTACTCGTGTATCGAAAAACTACGAATTTTCCGCAGAAAAACCCGTATTACGGAGCCCTGGTAACGAAAAAAGCAAATAAATCTTGTTCCTATACTTCCTCTTATCACGTTAGAATATTTTGTTGGTCTTTGATGACAAAAATATCAATTCAATGTATCCCTTCGTATAACGACCAAAGAATACATAATCTATGAGTCTTCATATTCCTTCGCTCACCACCTTCAGAAACGTTTTGCACAAGAACATAAATAAGGGTAAGAAAAATATATGGTCCTTTTTTAAATCCCTATTTTACATTTTTAAATTCCTATTTTCATTTTTAAATACATATTTTTCCTGACTATTTCTACATTTTTCGTGCCTATAAATCCGCAGATTAATTATCAGAAAATATTTTTCCTAAACCAGCGCATATTTTTTCGCAGTTCGCTCTATTCTTTTTAACGTTCTTTATTCTACCCATAAAAAATCGAAGAAAAAATTTGAGCGATTTTTTAGTATTTTTTAAATAATTTGCAGGTGGGCAGACAAACGTTTGTTTGCCAACTTCGACCAACGTATCAAATCAACGTATTCCTTCGCTCACCACTGGTGACGATCAATTATCGGCGAAGGAATATGAAGATTCAGAGTATTTTTTTATATAGATGTTAGACCAATTACAACGTAAATTCATCATCACTATCTTCCATCATTGTATCACTGACCACTAATCTCTAAAAAATATATATAAGGAGGATGAAAGAATATTCAATACAAATAAAACAAAGATGTACCACAAGCCATTCACGTACGCAAGGTCATATGACGTCACATATGACGCCACCATAAACAAATCAAGAGATGAAGGGATGGATGTAAGCCAACACAAGTTACTATCAAGGACACATGACCATATACGACACATCCGTCGGGTATCTCTTGATCATCTGCCCACCTGCATATTATTTAAAAAATACTACAAAATCGCTCAAATTTTTTCTTCGATTTTTATGGATAGAATAAAGAACGTTAAAAAGAATAGAGCGAACTGCGAAAATATATGCACTGGTTTAGGAAAAAATATTTTCTGATAATTAATCTGCGGATTTATAGGCACGAAAAATGTAGAAATAGTCAGGAAAAATATGCATTTAAAAATGAAAATAGGCATTTAAAAATGTAAAATAGGGATTTAAAAAAGCATCATATATATTATTCTTATCCTTATTTATGTTCTTGTGCAAAACGTTTCTGAAATAAACATAATAAAGTTTACCTTCACGTCATTGTTCTAACAAATCCTCGGAGAATTTCTCTGTTTCAATTTTGGGCAATTCGGAGAAAAAAAAGGCTGAATTACAGTAACTATCATTTTGCTTTCATTAAATGCAAGTTGATACTCTAATGTTGCACAGTACGATCTTTCTTCTCACATGTGAATAAAACATGAGTGAAAATATCTACAATTTGTTTTAATTGCCGTGCATAACACAGATGTAACTATTATTACTACAGCACATACTTTCTTGCATTGTATCTTAAAATATATTTCAAAACTTGCAATTTTCAAAAATACGGAAGTTGAACACCAATTAGAACGAAAATAAGACCTGTGCCATTCGATTAAATGTGTCTTATTCTATCCGCGGAAAAATTGAAGCGTGACCTTTTTAAAGATCTGCTTTTTTGGAACATTTTATTTAAGACAAAAATCTCCATATTCAACATTGTACTGTTACAATGTCAACTTTTTGCAATTTTCTAAATGACGGAATTCGCAAAAAAATGGAACAGGCACCTATGTTTATGGCATAATTTGATACGTGAAAAAATAAGAAAAAAATTAGATCGGTTTTGAGTAAAAAATCTTTTAAAAATTTAAAGTAAAAAACAACCACCAGTGATTTTTAGGCATTTCATAATATGAAATACCCGCATTGTGATGGTAATAAAACGGAACATCGATTTATCGATAGTTGTTCTATTTATATGTAATCTGCAGGATAGAAACAAAAAACTACAATTTAAAAAAATGGTTCAGGATAATTGCATTTTGATCAGTAAATACGAGAATAGGCAAATTTAGGCAATTACACACAAAATAGGAGTTTATTAGTGAAATAGGCACTATAAAATTAACATATAATACTCCTAATGCCTACAAAATTGGCCAATAGGCAAAAATCCGAAGTTTACTGAAAATATATAGGAGCATTCATGAAAACAGTGAAATGTCATTGTATTGGGGTGAAAAAAAGGTCAGAAAGGTTGTTAGTGTAACCGGCGTCTCCGAGTACTTGAAGGTGTTTGAAGAACGTACTTTTTGGACTAATTTTTTCATAGAACAAGGACTGTAAGTTGATGGTTGAGATGTTTCACGTGTAAACAATCGTTTTTGAATAAAAATATTGGTCGACAGAATTAGTACTGTACGGATTGATATTTGAAGTACGCAAACGCCGATTGGAATATCTACTCCATTCATCTACAATTTCGACACTTTTTATATTTTTATTTCACCACTGTTAGGTTTAAGGCATTCGAGTTTTTGATTTCCAAGAATATTATATACCGTTCGAAACTACATTGAGAAGAAGATTAATGAGAGCAGTTTTCTACACAAAATTTTAACAAAATATGATGGTATTTTTAGTAAAAGTATTTAAAATTATTAATAATAAGAATACTACTCATAATAATAAATAATATTTAATATATTTCAGATATCGGAAGGAGTCAACGTTTCTCCTGCCATATTCAGAGAGCAAACAACCGATACAGAAGAAAGAGTTGACATCCAGAATAGAACTTTCACCAAAGCTTCAGCAGAGATTCAAGGAAATATCCATCTCACAAACTGTGAATCATTACATCCACAAAAAGTTTTAGAAATAGTTTTATGCTCAACATGGAAGTTATGTGACAATCCCATCGAAAACAACATTGCGAATGATTACTCCATTCCACTGGTAGAGAAAAAACAGGCCACGACTGCTCCGAACGAAAATCTCTTGCAATGTCCGGTGCAGTCTAGGACAAACAACGAGATCGCAAACTATCTCCAAAAGGGTTCCCTGCTTCACTTCCTAGCAGAAGCTAACGCAACCGACGCACTGCAAAGTCTCGTACTACTTGGGGCGGACATTTCCAAACAGGACCATCAAGGAGATACCCCGCTTCATTACGCGGTTAGAAGCGGAGCATATGGCACCATCCGTTTACTCCTGAAGGCGGGGTCAGACCCCAAAACTAAAGGGGCGAATGATTTGACTCCTCTGGATGCAGCAGCAGAACGAGGTGACACCGAAGCTGTTCGCATCTTAATACACGAGGCAACAAATGAAACTGCAGACGTGTTCATGCACGTCATTAGAAGCCAAAATTATGATGCCCTTAAAACACTTATTAACGCCGTTGGAGTTCTTCCGAAACGAGTCCTTGACATTGCTTTGGTGGAAGCAATCAAAAAAGAAGACCGCGAAGCCACCCGACTGCTGATTGCAGCGAAATCAGACAATGTCTCTTCCAAGGAAGAGGCTGAAGCCTACCCTCTGAGCGAAGCTACTTCGCGTGGACGAGAAGACATTCTAAAGGACCTTTTGGACGCTTGGGGCTACGTGGACGAGAGAAACGAGAAGAACCGTGGACGAACTCCCCTAATGGCGGCTGCTTACAACAACAACCCACGTAGCATCAGAATGCTAGTAGAGGCCGGTGCACCTCTAGAGGACGTGGACAGTGGTCAACAAACGGCTCTTTTCTACGCTGGGTATGTTTCCGGCACCGATGCATTGTCGACACTTGTCGAACTCGGTGCCAACGTGAACGCTACAGATGATAATGGAGAGAATATCCTTCACAAAAGCGTACATCGAAATCCTGCTGCGGTGGAGATTCTTTTGAAAGCAGGAATAGACAAAGAAGCAAGGAACAATCAGGGAAGAACACCTGTTTTCAAGGAGGCAGGACTGTCAAGCGACGCATTACATCTTCTTCTAAAAGCAAACGTCAGTCTTAATATACGCGACAACGAAAATCTCACACCGTTTCTATTCCATGCGTTAAATGGCGATGAATATGGAACCGCTTTGTTACTAGAATGGGCCCCTGACTTGGAAGAGCGGGATGAGAATGGCAACACCGCGTTACTGCTAGCAGCGAAACAAGCCTCATACGCACGACACAATTATCCGACCTACAACTACACAGGGCTTCTAAACACCGTCAGGATTCTCGTAGAAGCCGGTGCCGACGTGGACACCCAGAACTTTGAGGGATTGTCTCCGCTCCTCTGGTTCGTGGATACCGGTTTTGCGTCAGGCGTGGAGTTCTTACTAGGCGCAGGAGCGGACAAAGACATTCGCGATTTGCGAGGATACGCTCTCCCCTGCACGCTGCGGTGGAAAGGGGGTTCATCTCCCACCCGCTTCTGCAATTCGGGGCGGACGTCAACGCGAGGGATAAACAAGGGCGCACCCCGTTGGTGGTGGCCGCGGCGAGCGGCAGAGCGTACGTGCTACGTCGTCTGATTGACGCCGGGGCCTCGGTCCACGCTCGGGGCGATTCTGGGCAGACGGCTCTGCACTGGGCGGCGAGGAGAAACGCAGACACCCTGAAACCACTGTTAGAAAACGGCGCCGATGTCAATGCTACTGACACGTGGGGCCGAACCCCCCTCCACTGGGCTGACGGCAGCGACGCGCCAGTGGATGAGCTTCTCAATGCGAGATCTGACCGAAACGCCCAGGACACCAGTGGAGCGACACCGCTTCTCTTAGCAGTGTACAAGCGTTGCGACGTTTGCGTGCGAAAGCTGTTGCAAGCTGAAGTAGATGTCAATATGCCAGATAAAAGAGGTGTGACTCCTGTAATGCAAGCTGTAGAAGAAACCGACCTCAAAATTTTGAAATTGCTTTGTCAAGCTGGAGCAGACCTGGATGCGAGAGATAAAGAAGGAAGCACGGCGTTGCATCGGGCGACGGTCAATGGTTCTATCAACTCTCTGAAATATCTTCTTGTAATGGGGGTAACTGTAGATGCGAAGGACAACAACGGCAAGACCCCTCTCCATTTCGCATCTGAGCGCAACAACTTCAAAGCTCTCGAAGCACTGTTAGCAACGGGAGCTGAAGTGAATCTTCCAGACGGATCGGGAAGGACTGCTCTGCATTGGGCAGCACGAAAAGGCGGCGAGCGGGTGGTGAAGAGACTGGTCCAGGCGGAAGCAGACGTCAACGCTGAAGACAACGAGAAGAAAACCCCTCTGTGGGAAGCCGTGTTCTCCAACGATGCGTCCAGTGCAGCCCTTTTTTTGAGCGCAGGTGCCGACGTCAACCACGTGGCGGAAGGGCAAACCCTTCTCGATTTGGCTTCTGAGAAGAAGGACGCTCTTTGGAAAAGTATATTACAAGAGAGAAAGACTACGCGGAGTTGAAATTGAAGGTACAGGAAAATTAAATTCCTAGTGTATCTTCACTGTCTACCTTGCTCTACAGCTCACATAGTAAATCAATTGCCTACCAACTCACAATAACGGCTGAATTGGTATTGATGAACTTATTGTATTTATATACTTGTAACACATGGTTATCTGAACAAGTTATGCCAGTTCAAATATTTTTGTGTAACGATGCCCATTAATTGCATTTGAAATCTAGTGTTTAATTTTGTGAATCTGAAACTATTCTGTTGTCAAAAATCTTAGCTAATCGTATGATATGAATGTGTTTTTAAAGTTATCAATTTTTTGTCTGGAATAAAATTATATGTATCATCATTGATTTTGTGTGTATTTTAAAGTTTACTTCCGATGCATTTTATTTGTGAATTGCTATATTCGAAATTATTACGAACATTCTTATTACTTATTGAAATTTGCTTAAAACTCACCAAATAACTCGATTTAAAATATTTTTGTAATGTAAAGACGAAATAATCAATACTTTTTCAGGGCTTAAAAATAAAATTGGTGGGAATATCATGATCATGAAAAAATATTATCTAACATGATTCCATTCTCAAATATTAAAGCAGTCATTAGAAAACGAATAAGAAACGATAATTTATTTTAAACAGGTAAGTGGGCAACATTTATAGCTTAATAAAATAATTACCCATTTCCATGAATAAAATGAGGAAAACCCATTTCTTTCGTTTATTTAGCATTATGAAATTTAATAATGGTTGCAAAAATTTATTCATTCACATCATGTAGTTTTCTTAGAGCTTGTGTCATCCACAGAAATTTGGAAATCGTCTTATCCATGTTACAACCACAATTTCGTGACCATTTTCTGAACTTTCTTAATCTTCAAACACATAGCATAAAGAATAATGATTCTACTTTAAATTTAAGTTTTGTCTAGGAAACGTACTAAATACGAGTGTCTCGAAAAATAACATATCAATCCATAAACTACAACCGGCACTTATACCAGTACAATATCTCTGTATGCCAGAATCATACGCAAGCACAAAAAAATTGGTATCGATAAAATAAATGAGACGATAATAATATGAAACAAAAGATAAAATGTTGATATAATAAGGAGATAAGTGCTTTACATCTCCCGTATCCATACACCAACGTCAGCCTGAAAAAGCTGAAACAATCGAATCTTCCCATTTGTCTAGAAATTAAGAGTTTGTATTAAATAATTTAAACAGAGATGTTGATAGGCGTTTGGTAAAACATCTTGGTAATGACTAGAGAACATCGATGAATAGAGACACTACACGAAAGCCATTACTAACCAGACTGTGAAGCATGTTGAAGCGGAACAAGGTGAATATGTGGGTAGAGTATCTTCACACGAGGGTGCTGAGGATTCTTTGTTTAAATATTTCAGTTTGATGGACAAGAAAACGATTGTTTTATTGAATGTTTTTATTCAGTATTTATTTTGTTTGTGTTATACATTTTGGTCGTTAATTTACTTGCAATTTATAAAAAATAATCTTTCTTATTATTAGAATTAGCGTATTTGTGACAACTTAACTGGTATTATTCAAATTATAGAGCACTAACTAATTAGTTGTTGGTTAATTTTTTGAAAAAATATCTTTTATTCAATTAGATTGTATTAATACTTGCATCTAGACAAGGATCAATGGAAAACTGACTGTTACATACATATTATAAGTTTTTATTTCCCTCTGAACTGTCTACTTTGTGTAAAGTTAGTTCTGGATATCACGTCCTCCTACGATAAAACAAAATGTTTCACCATTCCGTCAAATGTTTTTATTTTATTTCAGTATCTTCGACAATTTGAAAATTATGACCGTGATGCTTTCTCTCCTTGATAATTGTAATCATTATGAATTTTCTTAACTATGAAAAACAATTTATACACTCAGGGACGGATTTTTTTACTAAAATTGTATCTTAAAGAGCCTTCTCTTTGTAGCGTGCGATTTTTATTTTTCTATGTATTCTATGAGTTTTTGAACAAAATGATTAAATACTCGAAAATTAATCTATTAATAGGATGATAACACCTTCTGCTATTTATTTATTTTCGTCAAAAACAGTTAAAAACTGTGTGTAACGTGCTATGGGGAAACGTTAATTTGAAGATACATTTATGTCCAGAAGCAAAACAAGGGGTCATATGAGCATTTGCTCGAGGATCAAGGAAACTGGACGAATATCTGATCGAGATGGAGGCATTGACACAGTATTTGAGTTCTGATAAGTTAAAATGAGCTATTTGTACATTTTCAGACGTCACATAAGATTCAATAACAATACCGAAAAAGTCTTCATGTTACATCAAGAAAGTTATTCATATTATAAATTTTAGGTATTATAAAAATTTTAATTCATATAATTTTGATAATCCGTTTGAAAACTTCTTATTTAGTTCTTATTTTGTAGTGTTAAATAAAAATATCTATGTCCATATTTATAAGATTTAAAGGTAGAACAACGGTAGAATAATAAATATGCATAACTACTAAAAAACATGATTAATTTTTTATTCCTTTACATCATAATATATTTAAAAATTAATTGATTTCCTGTAGAAAAAATTGCATAAATTATTAATAAAATTATATTTAATTTAGTCATAAATGTGTGTCCAATTTTTGAAGATATATTAAAACTTATTATATATAACTTTTTCCCTGGGTTATCTAAAAAAATTGGCGGCAATATTCTGGTGCCTACAGACCACAAAGTTGTTAATCCGCTTCTGTATACCAGGTACCGTTCGTACCCCATGAATATATATATATATATATATATATATATATATATATATATATAATTCATATATTCTGGGAGCTACAGATTATCCTGATAGAATCCGTAGCGACGTTTAGCGATCTACCGCCAGGGCGAGTTGTCAGTGGGCCCAGTTAGAGCCCGTGTATGCGGTGCTGCTGCGCCGTGGCTGGCGGCGGAGTTCCGAACCTTGACGTGTGGCGCATGCAGCCAAAGCGTGACGCACATCTCTTACGCGTGTCAAGTGTGAAGGCTGTGCTTCAGGAGCTTCAGGAAGGTGACTTAAACAAAAACTCTACAAAAAAGTAACCACCTGATTGGAGAAGCAGCATCAAAATCACATGAAAAATACATACATATGGTTACAATATAGAGTTGGCTAAAATCGCTTTTTACTCTCAGACACTTTTTGTTATCAAAAAATTATTACATTAGAAACTATTCTTAGAGATACATTTTCTCTATTTAGACATTTCATCTTCAAAACAGTATTTTCTACTGTCATTCAATACAGAATCTTATATGAAACTTACATGGAGCCGTCCATAAATTATGTTACGTAAATGTGTAGTATTTCGAATATCACTGCTCCACCGGTATGGCACATGTTATGCGCATTTCAATCCAACCTTAATAATTACGTAACGCCTGCGCCGTCACCCCTATTTGCAATAAGTAAATGTAAATTACAGGACAGTAAAAATAATGTATTATTCATATTATTTGTATTGTATATTAACATTAGTGATAATTTAAATCTAAAATAATTGGCGGAGCTGACTGCACCTACATTAAGATTAATGACTCAAAAGCAAGAACATTTCTGAATATTGTTCACAAGCCTTTGTTAATAACGGTATAGGATGTAATAGGGCATTGGAGTCTTCTTTCCAGAAAAAAGATACGTCTGCTCGACGATGATACTGCAAGTAATACAATGTTCACTTCCTGGAACAGGTTTTGCGATCATCGTATTTCATTCACTTCTATTAACTTTTACATTTATTAATATGGAAGATTTTTATTCAAATCAAAAAATGAAAACGTGAAAACTATCGATGCTGAAAAATGTCTGATTTACTCGTAATCATTTATATGGTTCATCTTGTCAATGAAGTGCATTCATACTCATAATTTAATAAATAATTTATTAATTAAATAATTATATTGAAAACCCTTAATAGGAGAAGAGAGTACGCAGTACGTACTACTTTCTTTTTGTACACAATGCTCACCATCTTGAGAAATCACCAATAGGAATTTATCCCATACTTCTCTTTTCATTAACAAGTTTTCCCT